AGCGGCAGGGGTCACCCCTCCCCTACTCCGGGCTTCACCTCCCTGTGGCTCCAATGTCGGGAGGCTTCCGCACCATAGTCACAGTGGTGCCGCAGGGACGTGCCAGCTCCTGCTAGGGGAGGGGTGACCCCCTCACCCCTCCCGCACGCTCCAACTGAGCCTGCCCCTCTCGGAGCCACTTCCCCCCCCATGGCCACGACAACCCCAAGGGGAGGCACACGCTCAACCGTTGCGGGGACCCAGGAAAGTTCGGTTGGGATATCAGCATCCAGTGGGCACCCTTGCAGGTGGCTCCCCAGGTCCAGAGCTGCAGAGCCCTGTGTACTTTCGTGCCCCTGGGAGCGCGCGCGCTCAGTGTGTGAGTGGTAGTGTGTCAACCTAACGACGTGCCGGCGGCATATGCACGAGGTTGCGGATTTGAACCCGCTCTCACAATTTTTTTTTTTTTCTCTATAAAGGGTTGTGGAGGTGTCGGGGGTTACAACCCAGGGAGGATGTCCGACTGAGGGCTCCCCGCGCCTGGGTCAGCCTCACTGGCGGTGCAGCGGGCTCACCCACTGCCGAGTGATCACTCGAGGATTTTTTTTTTTTTTTTTTTTTTTTTTTCCTTATAAAAAGGGTTGTAGAGGTGTCGGGGTTTATGACCCAGGGTCACTCAAGGATTGTACCCGTACTGGAAATCGAAATCAAATGAGCTTTTGCCCTTTTGCTCCATACGAGATTTCTGTTCTCGTTGAGCTCATCTTAAGGCACCTTCGTTATCGTCTAACAGATGTGCCGCTCCCGCCAAGGCCCAGGTGCGAAGGTGCACGCAGGCAGGACGTACTTGCAGTAGTTCATCTGGAAGAAGTGCCTCGTGGCCTGGTACTAAGTCCCCTGGAATACTTTATTGCAAAATGTGCAACGCATCATCATCACCCCCTTGTTGTCGACCTTCTGGTCGACGACAAGGTACCGACTATGAATACCCCCCGGAGGAGGCCATGCGCGGCCTGTGCCGCGCCCCCGCGGCCATGAAAAAAAAACAAAAAAAAATAAAAATTCAAAAAATTTTGAAACAAAAATATGTTATGCAAAAAAATATACTGAACAACTTTTGCCTTGTGGTCATATCCAAAAACGTTATTGAATTTAAAATAAAAAACACATAAGTCTCATAGTTTTTGTTTAAAAAAAAAAAAAAAAGCTTTTGCCTCAAGAAAATTAGTTTTTAAATTTTACGAAGTCAAAAAATAAAATAAAAAATTGCGCAATTTATATCTCGAAAAGATCTACAACCGCATATTTTTTGTTTTTTTGTTTGCAACTTTTTTAAGTCTAAAACAAATCCTGAAAATCTCGGTTGGACCGGCAGGGGCCATGATCACGACTACCCTCCGAGTTTGACCCCGCGGCCGCAGCCGCGAGTGATACATAGGGTACCGATACACAGGGGAGCGGCTTTTGAATGTCTCCTGCACATGCTCCGCAGCGGGCTCATGTTGGCGCCGCTGTGTCCTACCCATGGCGACCGCCCTCTGCCC